CTTACGTATCACATTGTCTTGTGTTCTCAGAGCTTGGAAGGTTCAAGTCGGAGGGTTGGAATGCAGGCAGCAGGTCTGGTGCCCTGGGATGGGCAGCAGTACCTATGGCAGAGATGGCAGGAAGAGCAGCAGCCCAGTGTTCCAACTGGTTGCTAGGATACCATGGAGACCCTCCATTGCTAAGCAGGCAGGGGAAAAAAATGTTTCCATATGCCTTATAACCTGCAAACAGCAACAATAGAAACATCGTCTGCCTTCTTCTCCCCTTTCCCATTAGGAATCCAAACCCAACTCTTTAGTGAAATAACAAGCAGCAGGAGCTTGGCAATGTGGCTCAGTAGGGCCAGGAAACTGGTCGTTTACATTCTCAGGCAGTCTCTGTAGCTCCTCTTTCCGGGCCTGTCAGTATTTTCATTACAAGCCACCCCTGAGGGGCGCACAACTTGACTGTGCTTCCAATCACCCGCGTAGGGTTTTAGCAACCTGCTCTCATATATATTTTTATAAAAGCTTCCACAGCTTCCCATTCACTGCATAGACTAACATCAAACCAACACACTCAAATGGGGAAGTCTATTAGAATAACTAATAGACTTAAGTGGGAATTTAACTCTTCCACAAAAACAAGGAAGATGAATTTCAGAAACCAACTTCAGTTCTCCTGTCCCAGTTGCCCAGGTACGTGAGGAATCTAGTTAGAGTATTTTAAAAATAAAATTAGATTCTTTTCAGTGGGAACAGTTTGAAGTGAGTAGGTAAAGGAACTTGTTTTCTATTAAGAGTGGAACTGGGTTTCCTTAAGGGTTTTAACCATCTGCTGATTGGTTAAATTAAATGCCCTTACCAAGCTGGAATAGGTATGGCTATTAGCAGGATGGTGCTGGTCAGGGGTAGAGGACTGGACTGACATTCAAAGAGTCAGAGCTTTACTAACGGGTAACAAGTAGTCCTCCAGTAAAATGTGCGCATGCGTGCGCTCGCACATACACACACACACACACACACACACACACACACACACACACACACATCTTGATTATTCTAAAAACAACAAAAATGCCCCCTTACCTACTTTATAAAATAGAAACTAATATGCTCATTCTCTTGGCCTAAACTAGCTTTTCTTCAATTCCCACTACCGCATTACCGTGTCTGGTACAGCCACTGGTTGCTGTTAATCCCCAGATGTACCCTCTGCTTTCTTTTGCTGTCCATCCCCTTTGCTGATGGCCCTGCCAACCCCCACCCCTCTAATCCCATTAGCACTAAATCATGGCCATCCTCCAAATATGTATTTACTTTAAATATCTCCATTTCAACATGAGTTCCTGAAACCATAAAATTAAATGGGCTCGATTATATTTGCTGTCTTGAGTATCTCCTCTATGACTTGCCTACTCTACTTTCTAGAATATATACTTGTGCAGCATTATTAAACCTTTATTAACTCCTTGATGATAGGATCTATGTATCTCTGACCTCTAATGCCTGATGATAGCTTATACATGAAAGACATCCCACCAAAGTATTCAACTGAGCTGTAGGGCACATTTGAAATTTAATGGTTACCTTTGAAGAAATCTGTTTTAATATTATGCCATCTAAGATTACACTAAAATGCTAAAATTCTCTCAACTTCCTACAAACTTTAACACACAGCCTGTAGAAAGACTCCATTTCTCTTGAGATGTTCTAGTGTCAAGGTTTAAAAGCTCACATAAGATCTTAAAATGAATGCCTCTCTAAAAATAAGAAAATATTCCTCAATATCCTCAGCTCTTCCAAAGTACTTCACAATCAAAAGTGAAATATAACAAAACGTCATCATTCTCTGAAATGCATCTACCTCAGGGGTGAAAAGCAACAGCTTAACAAGAATACAGAGACACTAACCACTTGTGATAGAAACTCAAGTTTATATAGACCAACTTGAATGACGCAGAACCCTGTGACAGCGAAACAGAAAGGATGTGAGAATATTTACCATAGGTAAAGGGTTTAGATCATAATAGGAGAGACTGAATGTGCTAACCTATTATGGAGTTAATTTTCAGGAATGAAATAGCATGAAATAAAATTACTTTAAAAGTCCATAAGAAAAAAAATATATATATATATATATATCAACAGGCTGATCTCATAAAATGGATATTTTTCTCATTTTTAAGAGTTTATTTGCTCAATTTATTTCAAAATATATAGACTAATAATTTTACACTCTCAAGTCATTATTTGGTAGCAGTGGAATACAGATTCCAATTTGCTACCTCAGTTCTTTGTTTCACATTCATAACACAAAAACAGCTTAAGGGCTGTTTATATACACATGTGAAAGAGAAACAAAAACACTCTCCCCACCTCACAGATGCAGCAGGAGGGCCCTGGCTTCTGTTGGAATCTGACCAAGCCTCCCCTGCAATTCCCATTTTAATGGGGAAACTTTCAAACCAAAAAAGTTAAGACAATCGAAGTGGATGAGTTAATTTTTATTTTACTTTTTTTTAAAGGATCAAAAATCACTAAAAAAAGTTTTAAAAACTATCCTCAGAAGGCAACCTCAATAAGCAAAAAGTAAACAGGAACATATTTTCATTCATCAAATAACTGAGCAGAACAGTTACCTACATGTAATGAAGAGAATATAGAAAACTAACAAGATCATGAGTTAAAGTCAGTTTTATGTTACTTAAATGGTTTCATTTTAACTTGAAGCCGTGATAACCTGTGTGTAAGTTCAAGAAAGATGACTGAATTTAAGTTGCACTAAAGATGAAATATAAAGACAAACACTTGTTAACAGTAAGTCTGTGTCATCAAATTACTTATAGTGGAATAAACTGAAGTTCAAACACATCTTCAGTTTGTCAAGTTTTCCTAATTCTTTGTGGAGCTATCTTGCACAATCATTCCAATGACATGATAATAATCATTTTGCATACAATATACTTCTCTTTCTCTCGAGAGGTACACTCTACCATTTAAGTCAATTTTGTTCTCATTTTATGTAAGTGTGAAAAAAAGAACAGATGTTTTTCCAAAATTATTTAAGCTTGGAAGACATGCTATCATTTTCTTCAATATAATCCTTCAGCATCACCAAAATCACCATGTTGATGTCTTAGTGGCTGACTTCTTTAAAGCCCAAGTTATTAAATATCAGAAAGCACAGCATTGTTCCATAGATAAAATGTTTATTACAATAGAATTATTTGCCACACTCATTTCATTTTCCACCATGGGCTTTTAAAAAAATCTAGTAGTTCTCCATGTCAAGCACTAAACGGTTTCTAAAACTTCAGTTCATTCCTTACTGCCTAGATTCCTTTGGATCTTGTCTGATATATTTCACTACAGTTATCAGCTAGACTTATCATGCTTCATTATAAACCCTATTTAACTGGTCTTTTTATAAAAGTGGACTTTGCTCTGTATTACTCCAAAGTCCTGCAAATACTAAAATGAGATCCTGCAGAATCCTTAAAGATGCAGAGCTGCCTTTGAGTTATTTTTTCATTATGCAAAACTTGGCCCAGGAGCGATGGCCATGTACCTGGTTAGCTAAAACAGGCAAGCATAACAGGACTGCAAATTTCTAAGGCAGATCTAAGTCTAACAACAAACTATTAGGGCAACTTGGTGAAGTCAGAAGCTCAGAAGCATTTATCCTTACGGTCTCTTCCTCACTCTCTCGGAATAAAATCTCCTCATTAAGCTCAACCTGCATGAGAAACAGCACATGCTCTATGGGAACCAACAAGTATAGGTCTAACTCTAAGTTTTCAGAAGTATAATCAGTACATACTCCCAAGCTCCCTCCAACACAGCAAATATACATGAAGATAATCAAGTAGTTACTCTTTCTCTTTATATCAGTCCCTTGTGTTTACGGAGTGAAGGATTCCAAGGGACCTTGTATTATTATGTAACACGTCATCTAGCCAATGTGATGTAGTTAGGAATAGAGCATCAAAACCTTTTACTTTATCAATTATCATATCTATTAATTAAAAATAACTTTCATTCGGGTGCTCATTCCCTATTAATGTAAGTTCTTGTCCCTTTACTCTCCATAAGAACTCTAGAGTTAAGTGGTGTAGAACAAGTTTCATTCAATCTTTCCACCCAAGTTGTGAAGCTTACTGACATCAGAACCACATAGTTCTCTAAAATGCTGGAACAACACGGATCAGTTGCATCAGAAGCCGGGAATAAGGCAAACAATGTGTCTCCCATTTCAATAAAGGTCGAGCACTTCTCTATTTTTGAGCCTGGAAACATGCAAGCCTCTTGGGAGGAGGTGCCCCATTAGTAACAGTATGCAAATTCCTGAAGGAAAACAAGCAATATTCTCCCTCGGATGTTATGAAAAGATCTTTAAGAAATCAACAGACTAGGCTTCCATGTGTGGATTGCAAATGTCATCCAATTGAGGAAATTAAAAAAAAAATCCTCCCTTAGATATGCGCGTTGGCTTGTTTTTGACACTTTGATGATGACAGAGCATCAGGTTTGAAGGGTACCAGTGAGAAGGGCCAGCGTGTAGAGAAACCCGGGAGAGCCACAAACGCGTAGAAAGTAAGGATGATATCAGACGCATTTCATTTCAAGTCTGATGAGCCTGCATTTAGGATTTTCCGGCTGGGCAGCTTTGCCAAGGCATTTGGGAGATGGGGTTTTTCTTCCGCTTCTCACACTCACGCACATACACGCAGCCAGACACACACCTGGGGCGCATTCAAACTCTCTGTACAGTAGGTGGCATATATGAATGCACATATTTTTAAAAAAATAGCTCGACATCCGACAAAGACGGGAAGGCAGCATAGGTGCTGAGTCTGGCTCTAGAAACGTGCACAGCCCCGCAAGTAAAGGAAACATTTCTGAGGATGAGGACAGACATAGCAAGCGGGAGGGGCGGGGGCCCACAGAGACAATACAGAGACCCGCAGCTCCCCACCCACAGGGTGCCCCAGGGCCCCCTGCGCGTAACCCCGGCTTACTGTGGGCTCTTGGGGTAGAAGGGCAGGGTCACATGGCTGAGATCCTGGATGTCGAAAGCGGTGGGCTCGGCGGAGATCGCCTGTCGCTTGGTGCGCGGCTCGCCCTGCAAGGTGCTGGCGCTCTGCTTCTGCGCCTGCTGGGTGGCCGGCCGGATCACCGAGCGGTACTTGTCCAGCTCGTTCTGCAGCTTCTGGATCAGTTCGTCCTTCTGATCCAACTCCAGCTCCAGCTCGTCGATGAGAGCATCCCGCTGCCTGAGCTCCTCGATCTTCTCCTGGAGCGCGTACTGGAGATCCCGCAGGGTGCCCATGCTCCTCCCGGCTGCCGGGGGCTCCTTCCCCGCGCTGCTCCGCGTCTCGGGGCTTCCTCCCCTCTCCGATCAACTTTCCCCAAAGTCGCCGCTGCCTCCCGAGTGCAAAAGCTTCCTACTTGAGACCAAAGCCAGCCCTGGCTTCTGAGCATGCCCAGTCCGCGGGCTCCAGCCACAGAGAGTTTCTGTGCAGATTCCACTTCTCGGGGCTGATGGAGAGGCTGAGTGTGGGGATGAGCAGAACGGCAGGTCCAACCCGGGATGAAGCCTGACGCGCGGTGGGCGCTGCAGGGGGTCCGAAGGGCAGCTGCGCGGTGGTCAGGGAGCAGGAGACCGGGACTCCGATGAGGCTCCCGGGCAGCGGTTGGGCTGCCGGGGTCACTCGCGCTGGGAGCCAGAGGAAGCCAGTGGTGCGTGTGCGGAGCCTGATAACCCTGCGGGGCGCGCCAGGGGCTGTGCAGGCGGAGCGAGGCGGGAGCACCACTTTGGGGGTGGGGAGGGGAGAGGGGAAAGACAGCAAGGACCCCAAGAACTGGGAAGGTGACAGCCGGCTCCAGAGCAGAGGAGTCTTGAGGACAAGGGACTACAATCCTGGAAACGTGGGCGAACAAAGCGTACTCTGCATCTTAAAAGCTCTGAGTTCTGGAGGTATTTTGACCACCAGCCTCACCAGGAAAGGCTCCCGAGTCACATGTCTGAACTCTCCCTCCTCCCAGGCCACCTTTCCCACCCGGAGCGCAGCACACAGGTGGCCAAGGCCGGAAAAGAAACTTGCCTCTCAGGAGATAGAGCAACTCTGGATTCCCCGAACATCCTAACATCCAGGTGTCTTTGGGGAAGGGAAGGGGGAGGAGGCTTCTGACTTCCTCCCCCCCCCCCCCCCACCGCCCCCCAAGCATTCCCACACTGCCTGCTCCTGCTAATTCCTCCCCTTTCCACCTTTTCCAAACTCAGGTTAATTAACTATTTTCGGTGTGGGGGGTATAGGGAGCATGGGAAAAATCATTGCTGATCTCCAAAAAGTTCATCCTAAAATTGAACCATACCTTTAAAAATATTATTTCCCTGACAACTAAGCTGTTAGGTCTGTGCCCTTCCACTTGAATAGCAAGACACAAACTTTGAAAAAGAGAGAAGATTCTAAAGAGAAGGAGGGCTATACCACTCACTCTACCTCTACCCACCCTCACCCCTATTCCTGCCCACTAGATTATTTCCTGAAGTGATGACAATTAAGTAGCATCCTTTCTGTTCAAGGGCAATTCTGACATCACTGAAACACATGATGTTTAAAAGCGCCAAATATTTACTTAATGCTTACCTAAATTTATAATATTTATCTAAATCTTCACCAACTCTTCCAATTTTATAACATCTTTATTAGCAGCCTTCTAATTATTCTTGGGCACTGAATGATATAAACCTCAATGCTACACTTGGCCATCTTGAACACTAAAACAAAGTAGATAGGTAATAGTTTAAAACTGAATTGCAATCTAGAACCATAGCCAAGGACAGATATATTAGTCTCAAAAAAGAATAAAAACTTGCTTTCTTTTACTTTTGAATGCACAACTTTTTCTATCTGAGCTAAGAAAAGAAGAAGGGAGAAGGAAAAAGGGGGCAAGCCAACAGCAAGTTATTAAGCTTTTTGATTTAAAGAGGTGTAAATGACAAAGGATATACTGTATAATCCTAAACATTCTTCCACACAGATTATGATCTAATTCTCTTAGTACAGATGTTATAAGACAGGTTTTCTGCTTTCCAACATGAATGTATATAATACACAAAATGGATCATCCCCAAAACATTTCATTTGTAACACACAAAACATGAATAACATAAATACTGAGAGCAGGAAATAATAGTTCTGAATTTCATTGTTGTCTTAATTAAAACTAAAACAAGCAGAAATACTATAGCTTTGCATAACTGACACTATTTTAAAAGAGCTTCTGTGATATTGTCTTTCCCCAGGCAAAAGGCCAAGTTCTTATCTTTCTAACCTATGGGAATTCTTTGATTCCATGGGAAAATGCTTAAAACTTTTTCCTACCAATCTATTATAGGGGTCCAGGTGGCCAAGAGTTTATGTCTAAAAATATGTCAAAACATTGTATAAGTAACATCATTAGTTAACTGCTAAGCAGGGTTATATTTTAAGGTTCATTTGAGGCTTCAAGGGGGTTACTTAATGTATTTGGGCAGCACAAAGTAGAAAGCCTGCTACATGTGCAATGAAAATAGAAATAAAAGCACTTTTCCATCAAAATTAAAATTGCATTTTAACCAAAAAAATATTCAGGTATCTTTGAACAAAAGTGATGGTTGTTTCTTTACACTAACTGACATAATTTGTTTCACTATTTAAGCTATCATATCTACATGCAGCCATAGGATATATTCATGTGGCATTTTCATTTTAAATGGAAGTCTTGTGATATAAAATATATTCCATGATTAATCCCATATTGAAATTCAGAAATCAGTTGTAATAAATGCAAAGAAAGTAAACAGCCAAGAAGAAATGACTATTACAGTTGACATACTTTAAAAAATGTTCAAGGTATAAGAATATATTTGGTTGTATTAGCCTATATTATGAAAAATAATTTAATTTCCTCAAATACTTTAAAATTATATATACAAAATCCAGAATTCTAGGCTATTCTCTTCTGTTCTTAAAACTCAACATAAATATTTTAAGAAAGGTTTTCAATGATGTCTTTAACTGGTTGTTTGGGGCTTTAGGCACCTGATTTTCCAGCTTAAACTTTTGAGTGATTCCAATGTTTTCTTAACCACCTTTTTGCATTGTACTTGATAAGTGCTCAGAATGAATTTTATATGAAAAATTAAGGTCCTGCAGTTAAATTTCAACAGACTAATCTTCCTATGTGTCTTACAGGAAATTTAATTGGGTAAAATTTAATATCAAAGATCAGACACAAGTCTACTTTCTGCTCATTTAGAAATGGCTGCCACAAATCTGGAATGAACCGGGGTTGAATGACATATACTGACTCTCCCACTGCCTGCCTGGAATGATGTCTTGATGTTAGATGTTAAAACAGAGAACAATGCAATTTTGAAGGAACTGAGTTCATACTCTAGCTTTCCATAGTCAACTCACAACCTACTTTTCAGCAGTCTCTCTTTGTCATAACTGTAATGGAAACAACGCTCTACCAGTAGCCAGACCAAATTGTGGCATGTTGATGCTCTTCAATTTTGCATCCAACTCTCATGAATGAGAATAAGTATTACCAGGCCTTCCTTAAAATCTCAGAATCCTTCAATAAAGTATTCAATAATGCAGCTTTACCCTGATACTTCCTATTAAAAAGTAAAATCTGAAGAAGTTATAATCCTTTACTAAAAATATAACTTGCCCCAAAAGAACTGCGATAATTTTGCCATCCAGTCTGCCCCTTCCACTGATGGAATATTTCTTGGAATAGTCCTAAATTTGACATTTTCTTCTGCCATTTCATGTACATATGTTGAACTGCAAGAAACAAACAAACAACAACAAAAAAAAACATAGCTAGCTTTTTGGACCATGAAAGCCACCCCTTACAGAAAATTGGTAGCAGTAACAAGTACCCGTAAGAATCTAGATATGGAAGTTACTATTACTGGTAGACATACTAGCTTGCTCTAAATTGTCAATCCTAACCAATATCATAATAAAAATACCTAGCTTCCTTGAACTCGTAATGCATAGCAGGCACTGTTCATGTAACCCTACAAATTGGACATTATTATTATTTCCATTTATATTTGAGAAAACAGAGGCACAAAATCACCCACCTAATAAATGGTAAGGCCTGGATTCGAATCCAGACCCTTACCCTCTCTGTGCATTGCCCTCTATAGGAATTCCAATTGTTGCTCTTGCCTTGGCTCTGGACCCAGAGAGATAAGAGTGTTCTTAACATTAACTAGCCTGACGGTGGAGCGAGGCTAGGGACATAAAAAGAGGAGAAAATTGGAAAATCCAGCAAGAGTAGACAACAGATGTTTTACAGGTTCCTTTTCCTAAAACTGTCTTCACTCCAGCACCATTTCATCCTGTTTTAGGATGATCATCTGTACCCATTAGCCTGACGTTGTTCTGGTTTTAATACTAAAATTTCTTGGGACTGTCCTGGTTTTAAAACTGAAGTCCTGGTACCCCTTGATCCTGGACAAACCAGGACAGTTGGTCACCCTAATTAATTCAGGACCAATGAGCCTCTCTATTTCATAAATATTTTCAAATTTTGCTTTCAAAGTTACTGATAGAAAAGTAAAGCCAAGGAATATAAATAACAATAATACCTATTATTTTAGGCACATTACAAATCCATTTAATGCATTTGTTTGTGCAAATATGTTTTAGGAAAGCAATCATTCTATTCCAAAGCCTAATAATACACCACAGAAATTGTCTTTGGACTGTAAAGGGGAACAAGTCTGACAACAGAATTTTAATTACAGTTTGATGAGTCAGAAAAGAATTCAAGGCTCTCTTCGTTTCCTTGTAATAAAAATCTGGAGTTTAGACACACGGGCTTCCTATGGATTAAGCACCGCATGTCAAGCACCTATCTGCTTATCACTTATAGAATTATATCACTCTGTGATTGTGTTTTATAGACAGATTCAGCCATCAGGAATGCATGTTTAAATGGATATAGTAAAAGTTCTCATGGTTAGGCTGTTTTGAAGTCATACTGCTGAGAATTATATGTTCAGCATAAAAAGAAAAAAAAATAAACCACTAATGATGAAAAACTTACTGCAGAGACTTGGAAAGTAATAGTGCATTGTACAGTAATTGCTAATGTGCTTAGAGTTTAATACCAAATTAGTGTCATGCCTAATATTCATTGAAATGAATTCTTATAGTCCGCAGCTTCAAATGATGGTAAGTTAGCACTGGGCCTCAGCCTGCACTAGTTTCCCCCCCAAAATCCATGCACTAGCTAACAAAAAGAACATTTCTTTGTGCTGTTAGTAAGCTTCCCGTTTCCAAAGACCAAAAGGAATAAAAGATTTCTAAGAAGAAAAATATTGGGTTTTCTGTATTTTTTCATGAATAGAAAAATTTTAAATGCATAAAAGGGAATTTAAAATGATTTTTCCACTAAATATTATTTTACTGCATGTTAAGCCCAGTGAATATATGCATGAGTATGAACATCATAATATCTCTGAATCTGATTAATAAGTTATAGTTTCTCAGTTCCATTTCAATGAACCTTCTGGTATATCAAGCACATTATTTCCTAAGTTAATGCATCATTATTTTCCTCACAAAATAGTCAAAAACATTTGCAAAATAATTTTACTTTTGAAAATGGATTTGATATCATGTGGCTTATGGGAGAATAGCTCTGGAGTCAATTATTTTTTGTTGTTGCTTTTATATTAAATAGCTTTTAACAGATTCCACAACTTACCATTTTCCCCCTACATGCCATGTAATCAAAACTGAAAGTAAAAAAATAAAACTACATTTTGCTAGGAACTTTCTAAAATTGGGAATGTGGGAATGTAATGAGGCTATAAGAAACGATAAAATGGAATATTGAGTAAACTGGATTTTATTGGTAACTAAAATGAATGAACTGGGCAAGAGAAATATGGCAAGACACTTATACTGTGAGAATGTCAGAGATTTGGAGGAGAGGGGAAGTTGCAGGCCAAAAGGCTAAGTAGGGAAATACACAGAGATCTCCAGGCTCATTAACTTAGTAGACAAGTAAATATCACCTAAGTTCCAATTGAATTAATGCTTAATATTGTGCCTTTCATAAA